GGGGCTGAAAGGATAGTTCAGAGTCCAGGATTACACCTAGCACCTTGGCATGTGGGGACGGTTTAATAGCTGAGCTGTTGATCTTGACAGAGACGTCAGGGGAAGGGCATGTGGAGGAGGAAATTTTATGAGCTCGGTGTTGGATAGATCGAGTTTGAGGAAGTGGTGTGACATTCAGACTGATATGTTTGTTAGTAAAGTAGTGATTCGTGCAGAGACTGATGGAGTGAACTAAAGAGTAGAGAGATAGATTTGGGTGTCATAAGTGTAGAAATGGTATTTGAAACCATGGGAGACCCAGGGAGGAAGTGTAGATCGGGAATAGGAGGAGTTCAAGAACAGAACCTTGGGGGACTCCGACAGAGAAAGGAGGAGGAGAAGAGGAAACAAAAGTGTAAGTAACACTGAAAGTGTGGTGGGATAGACGGGATGAGACAGTGAAGAGTACAGTCACGAAGACCAAAGGAGTAGAGTTTTTTGAGGAGAAGGGAGTGGTCCACTGTGTCAAAGGCAGCAGAGAGGTCCAGGAGGAGAAGTACAGAATAGTGTCCATTGGTTTTACTATTTAGTAGATCATTTTGAGTTTTAGGAAAGCAGTTTCTGAAGGATATCAAGAAGGTTGTTCTTAGTGAGATGGTTGTTCAGACCATTGTAGAGCAGACGTTCAATGAGCTTGGTGAAAAAGGGGAGATGGAGTGTAGGTTAAGATTGGTGGGGTTCAGTGACAGCCTTTGGTGACCAGTGCATGTTTTAGAAAGTTGGGGAAGATGCCAGAAGAGGAGGAGAAATTGAAGATGTGGGGGATATCTGCACAGCGAAGATCTCCTCACGAATTGTATCAATCCTATTTTTGAAGTGACTGGTGATCTCCTGGGCAGTGAGTGAGATAGTGGGTGGAGGCAGTGGAAGACAAAGTAGAGAGCTGAAAGTAGAGAAAAGTTGATGGGGGCTGGATGAGAAGGTGTTAATGAGTGATAAAATAGGTCTGCTTGGCAGTGAGGAGGCAGGAATTGTATTTGTGGAGGGCAGATTTATATTGGTTGAATTCTTTCTGAGACTTAGTCTTACGCCACAGGCACTCAATAGCGCGGCTGCGTTTTTTTTTTAGACTTCTGGTGTTATGTTTGCCAAGGTTGGAGGGTCAGGGGCTGATTCTGTGTGTAGTGAGGGGGGGCAGCTTGTCTAGGGAGGATTAAAGTGAACTGTTGTAGACAAAAGTGGCTAGGTTAGGGCAGGACAGGGATGGGATTGGGCCATAGAGGTGGTCAGTAGCAGAGTGGAGAAGGGTTGAGGTGGCGAAGGTTTTACGGGTAACTCTTAGGCGATTTGAGGGAGAGGAACTGGGAGACAGGGAGAGAGTGGAACTAATAAAATGTTCATCAGAGAGAAGGAAAGGATTGTTGGTGAGGCTACATGGAGTGCATAGGTAGGAGAAGCCTGTATCCATTGCTTCAAGTCAAAAGAGGAGGGTAGAAAAAATATATATAAACTTGCGCCACAGAAAAATATATATAAACCTTCAGAAATTTAAAAGCTGCTGTTCTAAAAAACAATCCAATAAACTTTTAAACACTCCACAACGCAAATAAAATATATATAAAAATTAAACTACTAAAAATAAAGTCCCAAAAAAGTTATATATAAAGTCCACAAAAAAATTATATATAAATTGTGCTCAATCCCCAAAAAAACTCCAAAATTCTTCAAACAAATGTGCTCACACCATTTGTGATTAATGCTCTATCCCCACTCACCACATGGAGGGGATTCTTTGCTGGTATGGCAAAAGAGTCAAACAAGCTTAAAGTGACTGGGCATGTCCTCCCAGATATCTCTGTACTCAATATCCTCCAGAGACGACTCCCAGGATTGGATGACAATGGAAAACATAACAAAAAACAACAAATAGTGCAATACTGTAAAAAAGCTTTAATTTTATAAAAAAAGGCTGCCTTCTATGCACTCACATGTTTAAAATAGTATTCAGGCTTTCATATTAGGCACAAAGCCTCATATTATAAGGCTTAATTTTTTTGTAGAAGTGGACTGGCAAAGATAAATCGAAATTCCTTTTCAAATAGCAGGAAATCACTCTGGAATGCCGCAAACCAGAATGTGCTCCACTCACCGGAAGTGACATCACCAAGCACCCACCGGAACCGGAAATATGTAGACACGTTTTGCCCTCCTCCAGGGCGTTATCCAAGGCATATTTTCCGGCTCCCATCTTCTTTTTATACCTCTCCACTACTTCTCCCCTTTCTCCATTCAGCCAAATCCATCTCATTAACCCTCTAACACCTCATTTTTTTTAGCAAAGACATGTCACAGAATACATTTTGGCTGAAATTTATGACGAAATTAGATTTTTACATTTTTTACTGGACATGTTTTATAGCAAAAAGTACAAAATATTGTTTTTTTCTCAAAATTGTCAGCCTTTGTTTTTATAGCACAAAAAATAAAAACCGCACAGGCGATCAAATACCACCGAAAGAAAGCTCAATTTGTGGGAAAAAAAGGACGTAAATTTAATGTGGGTGCAGTGTTGTATGACCGCGCAATTGTCAGTTAAAGTAACGCACCTTTTTATTCACTAGGGTGTCTGCTTTAAAAAAATATATAATGTTTGGGGGTTTAAATTAATTTCCTAGGAAAAAATACTGATTTTTTTCATGTGAACAAAAAGTGTCAGAAAAGGCTTGGTCTTCAGGTGGTTAAAAGAGTGAATGATGTGTGGCATGAACTTCTAATGCTTGGCATAGAATGCCCCCACCCCCCAAAAAAAACCCTTTTTGGAAAGTAAATATCCCAAACCATTTGCTGAGAGGCATGTTGAATCAATAGAAGAATTTATTTTTTTTACCACAAGTTTTTTGAAAATTACAAAAAAAAAATATTTTTTTTTTACACACAAATTGTCTCTTAAATTATTTACTGCACACACATGCCATGGGTATATGTGGAATTACTCCCCAAAATACATTCTGCTACTTATCCCGAGTATGGGGGTACCACATGTGAGAGACGTTTTGGCAGTCTAGCCAAGTACAGGACCCCAAAATCCAATAAGCACCTTCAGGCTTTTAAAGGGCTTTATTTCCTCATTACACTTCCAGACTACCTATCACAGTTTCCGAGTCCCTGAAATGCCAGGATAGCACCTAACCCCCCCCCAAATGACCCCTTTTTGAAAAGTAGACACCCCAAGGAATTTGATAAGAAGCATGGTAAGTATTTTTCAGATCTCATTTGTTGCCACAAGTTTTTGGAAAATGAAGAAAAAAAACAAAAGCATATATTTTCCATTCTTTTTTTTTTTTATTTCAAAACCTTGTGAGAAAAAATGAGATCTGCAAAATACTCACCATGGTTCTTTTTAAATTCCTTGGGGTGTCTACTTTCCAGAAAGGGGTCATTTGGGGGGGGGGGGGGGGGTTTGGTGCTATCCTGGCATTTCAGGGCCTTTGAAACTGTGATAGGTAGTGAGGAAGTGTAATGAGGAAGTTACGCACCTTCAGGCTTTCAAAGTGGTCATTGGATTTCAGGCTCCTTTATGTGGCTAGGCTCCCAAAAAGTCTCACACACGTGGTATCCCCATACTCGGTAGAAGTAGCAGAATGTATTTTGGGGTGTAATTCCACATATACCCATGGCTTGTGCGAGAAATAAATCATTTAAATGACAACTTTGTGTAAAAAAAAAAATGTTTTTGTAATTTTCCAGAAACTTGTGGGAAAAAAATAAATCTTCCATGGACTCAATATGCCTCTCAGCTGATAGCTTACGTTGTCTATTTTCTGAAAAGGGGTTATTTGAGGGTGTTTGTACCATCCTGGTATATTAGCACCTCAAGAAATGTGATGAGCAGTCAGAAAGTAAAAGCCGTGAAAATTCCATTATCTATACCTTAGTTTGTAGACGCTATAACTTTCACACAAAGCAATAAATATACACTTACTAGGATTTCTTTAACCAAAAACATGTAGCAGACTGCATTTTGGCCTAAAATTATGACAAAATTAAAATTTTTTTGATATTTATGACCAAAATGAGAAAATATTGGTTTTTTTTTTAAAAACGTTTTTTCTTCAAAAGATTTTCTGTTTATAGCGCCAAAAATAAAAAGTGCACAGGTGATCAAATACCACCAAACGAAAGCTCTATTTGTGTGAAAAAAAGGACATAAATTTAATTTATGTACCATATTGCATGACCGCGCAATTGTCCGTTAAACTAGCGCAGCACTGTATAGCAAAAAAATGGCGTAAATTGTAGTATCTATACCATAGATTGTAGACGCTACAACTTTCACACAAAGCAATCAATATACACTTATTGGGATTTTTTTTAGCAAAAACATGTAGCAGAATACATTTTGGTCTAAATTTATAACTAACTTTGAGTTTACTATATATTTTTTATTGCTGAAAGTAAAAAATATCGTTTTTCTTCAAAATTTTCGGTCTTTTTTTGTTTATAGCATGAAAAATAAAAAGCGCACCGGTGATCAAATACCACCGAAAGAAAGCTCTATTTGTGTGAAAAAAAGGATGTAAATTTCCTTTGGATGCAGCATTGCATGACCGCGCAATTATCAGTTGAATTAGTGCAGCGCCAAGTAGCAAAAAGAGGCCTGGTCAGGAAGGAGGGTAAAATCCTCAGGAGGGCAAGTAGTTAAAGCTTTTTTTACAGTATTGCACTATTTGTTGTTTTTTTTTTTTGTTTTCCATTGTCATCCAATCCTGGGAGTCGTTTCTGGAGGATATTGAGTACAGAGTTATCTGGGAGGACATACCCAGTCACTTTATCCGCCTCCCGCCCCACCATATAGTAATATGACAGACGCAAGGTGGTTCTCTCGTTCTGGGAGGACGTCATATGACGTCTTCCCATTCTAACCACGCATTTGCGGCTCCCGGAGCGCGCAGCGCAGCGATCGGCGGTGCGCTGTGTCCCTTGGACACAGCGGATTGCCGATCCACGGAAAGAGCCGAAGATGTCAGCTCGGTCATGTGATCAGCTGTGTCCAATCACAGCTGATCACTTGTAAACAGGGAAATGCTGGTTATCGGCATTTCTCTCCCCACAAGCTGTCACGCTGACAGCTCGTGAGGAGAGGAGAGCCGGTAATCGGCATTCCTCGGAGGGGACATGTACACAGATCATCAGAGCACTGATGATCAGTGTGCCCTGATGATCTGTGTAGCCCCAGCAGCCCCTGTCAGTGTCCATCAGTGCCAGCTCTCAGTGCCCATCTATGCCACCTGCCAGTGCCCATCAGTGCCACATTTCAGTGCCCATCAGTGCCACCTCAATGCCACATATCAGTGCCCATCTGAGCTACCTTTCAGTGTCACACATCAATGCCAGTTAGTGCCACATATCAATGCCAGTCAGTGCCACCTATCAGTGCTGCCAATCAGTGCCACCTATCAGTGCCAGTCAGTGCCGCTTATCAGTGCCCGTCAGTGCTGTCTATCAGTGCCAGTCAGTGCCACCTAACAGTGCCAGTCAGTGCTGCCTATCAGCGCCACCTATCAGTGCCATATATGAGTGCTGCCTTTCAGTGCCCATCAGTGATGCCTGTCAATGCCCATCAGTGCCACCTACCAGTGCCTCTTCATCAGTGCCCATCAGTGCCACCTATCAGTGTCCATCAGTGCAGCCTATCAGTGCCATTCACTGCAGCCTCATTAGCGCACATCAGTGAAGGAGAAAAATCACTTATTTACAAAATTTTATAACAAAAACTAAGAAAAAAACATTTTTTTTTCAAAATTTTCAGTGGTTTTTGGTTTGTTTAAAAAAAAATAAAAAACACCTTCGCCCGCCCTATAGTAAAAGGGCGGGCGCAAGGTGGTTCTCTCGTTCTGATAGGATGTCATATGACGTCCTACCAGACTCACTGCGCATGCGCGGCCCAGGGAGTGCGCAGTGCGGCGATCGCCGGTGCGCTGTGTCGCTCAGAGACAGCGGATCACGGAAAGAGCCGAAGATGTCGGCTCGGTCATGTGATCAGCTGTGTCCAAACAGCTGATCACATGTAAACATGGAAATGCCGGTTATCGGCATTTCTCTCCTCTCGAGCTCTCACGCTGACAGCTCGAGAGGAGAGGAGAGCCGGTAATCGGCTTTCCGTGGAGGGGACATGTACACTGATCATCAGGGCACTGATCAGTGTGCCCTGATGATCAGTGTGGCCCCAGAAGTGCCACCTGTCAGTGCTCATCAGTGCCACGTGCCAGTGCCCATCAGTGCACGTGCCAGTGCCCATCAGTGCCACATATCAGTGCATACCAGTGCACATCAATGCCAGATATCAGTGCCCATCTGAGCTGCCTTTCAATGTCACCCATCAGTGCCAGTCAGTGCCACCTATCAATGCCTAACAGTGCTGCCAATCAGTGCCACCTATCAGTGCCAGTCAGTGCCGCCTATCGTTGCCAGTCAGTGCCGTCTAACAGTGCCAGTCAGTGCCGCCTTCATATCAGTGTTGTATCAGTGCTGCCTTTCAGTGCCCATCAGTGATGCCTGTCAATGCCCATCAGTGCAACCTACCAGTGCCTCCTCATCAGTGCCCATCAGTGCCACCTATCAGTGCCCATCACTGCAGCCTCATTAGCGCACATCAGTGAAGGAAAAAAATCACTTATTTACAAAATTGTGTAACAAAAACTAAGAAAAAACTTTTTTCAAAATTTTCAGTGGTTTTTGGTTTGTTTAAGAAAAAATAAAAATCCCAGAGGTGATTAAATACCACCAAAAGAAAGCTCTATCTGTCTCAAAAAAATGATAAAAATTTAATGTGGGTACAGTGTTGCATGACCGCGCAATTGTCATTCAAAGTGTGCCAGCGCTGAAAGCTGGAAATTGGCCTGTGCAGGAAGGGAGTATAAGTGCCCTGTAGGCTAGTGGTTAAATACCACTAAAATAAAGCTCTATCTGTCACAAAAAAAAAACCATAACATTTTCATATGGATTCAGTGTTGCATGACCGCGCAATTGTCATTCAAAGTGCAACAGCGCTGAAAGCTGAAAATTGGCCTGGGCAGGAAGGGGGTATAAGTGCCCTGTAGGCAAGTGGTTAAGCTTGTTTGACTCTTTTGCCATACCAGCAAAGAGTCCCTCCATCTGGTGAGTGGAGATAGAGCATTAATCACGGATGGTGTGAGCATATTTGTTTGAAGAATTTTGGAGTTTTTTTGGGGATTGAGCACAATTTATATATCATTTTTTTGTGGACTTTATATATAACTTTTTTGGGACTTTATTTTTAGTAGTTTAATTTTTATATATATTTTATTTGCGTTGTGGAGTGTTTAAAAGTTTATTGGATTGTTTTTTAGAACAGCAGCTTTTAAATTTCTGAAGGTTTATATATATTTTTCTGTGGCGCAAGTTTATATATATTTTTTCTACCCTCCTCTTTTGACTTTTGAAGCAATGGATACAGGCTTCTCCTACCTATGCACTCCATGTAGCCTCACCAACAATCCTTTCCTTCTCTCTGATGAACATTTTATTAGTTCCACTCTCTCCCTGTCTCCCACAGGGATTGAGCACAATTTATATATAATTTTTTTGCGAACTTTATATATAATTATTTTGGACTTTTATTTTTAGTAGTTTAATTCTTCTATATAATTTATTTGTGCTGTGGAGTGTTTAAAAGTTTAAAAGAGGAGGGTAGACTGAGAAGTTTAGAATTAGCAGGGCTATTAGCATTACTAGGGATGTTGAAGTCACCGAGAATGATTGTGGGAATTTTCAGAAAAGAGAAAGTAAGCTAGCCAGGCAGAGAGTCTGTCCAGGGAGCCGGTAGATCACAGCAATTTTTTAGAGAAACAGGAGAAAATTGCAGAATACAATGTGCCTACAATGTTACACATTGAATGGCTACATGATTTGCAGGTGTGAAAGTGACTACATGTTTTGTGTTTAAAGCAGAAGTGATGTAACATTCTTTTACTTAACCACTTCCCGACCGACCGTTGCATATAAAACGGCCGGACGGTGGCAGTGCAGGGTCGGGTGGCCATTTATAAACGGCCTCCCCGCACCCTGCTTGTGCACGCTCCCAGTGAAACACTGATCGTCGGACAGAACCTCTGTACGAGGTCCTAATCATGTGATCACTGATTGGCCAATCAGTGATCACATGCAAAGTAGTAAGCAAGATGTCACTTGTGACATCATTGCTTACTACGTGTGAAATCTGTGAATGATCACAAAGGTCACATGGTACAAGCCTATTCACAACAGCCTTGTACCATGTGACAAGCTGTGACCAATCACAGCTCACTCAGTACTTCTCAATGAGTGCAAGAATGCACACAGAGAGAAAGAGAAATGATTGCTTTTACATCCTATATGGGTGTAAAAGCAATCAGTGTAAAAAAAAAAAAAATCTTCATCACCCCCCACAAGTAGTACAGTGACACTGTACTGCTAGGGTGACAGTATGTAAAAAAAATAAAAAAAAAAAAAATAATAATATACAAAAAATAAAATAAAAATGTAAAAAAAAATGTTTAAAAATTATAATTTTTGGTTATAAACTAATTTGGATTTTTTTTTTTACTAACAAGATAATGAAATAAATTTTGGCAAAGATTTATGATTAAATATTATTTATTTGCAAAATTTTATAAAAAAAACACTTTTTTTCTAAATTTTCGGACTTTTTCATTTACATAGCAAAAAAAATAAAATGGTAAAAAATTCATTTGGGTACAGTGTTGCATGACCGCGCAATTGTCATTCAAAGTGTGATAGCGCTGAAAGCTGAAAATTGCCCTGGTCAGGAAGGGGGTAAAAGTGTCCAGTCTGGAAGTGGTTAACTGGTGCCTCTGTGGCTGAAGTTGACAATTTATTTGCAATGTCGTCGAGGTATAGTATCCAAGGTTATGACAGAATATAGTTTCTGAGAAAACGTCGTCTGATAAGCATAAGCACGGTCGACATAGTCAACTGATAGAAAGAGACAAAAGGACATTGCAGAGGTATGTGACTCAGGATAAGAAAACAACTGCTGCAAAAGTGACTGTAGAACTCAATTGCTCACATATGAATATTGGTCACTATTTGTAGGTCATTTATTTCATGCTTCAGTGATTTAGTATTATTTATATAGAGTTGTGTTCAAAATAATAGCAGTGTGCTGAAAAAAAGTGAATAAAGCTCAAAATCCTTCTAATAGCTTTTATTTCCATATACACAAATGCATTGGGAACACTACACATTCTATTGCAAATCAAAACTTGAAGAAAAATATATCAAATGTGTGCTGTTCCTCTAAAAAAATTAAAGAAAAGTGAATATTAGACTGTTCAAAAAAATAGCAGTGTTTGTATTCTTCTTTACAAACTCAAACATTCACTATATAAACTGAAAAATGTTTGAAGATTTTGCTTTCCTTTGAATCACTTAATATTTAGTTGTATAACCACTGTTTTTGAGAACTGCTGTACATCTGTGTTGCATGGAGTCAACCAACTTCTGGCACCTGTGAACAGGTATTCCAGCCCAGGATGATTGGACTACATTCCACAGTTCTTCTCTATTTCTTGGTTTTGCCTCAGAAACTGCATTTTTGATGTCACCCCACACGTTTTCTATTGGATTAAGATCCGGGGATTAGGCTGGCCACTCCATAACGTCAATCTTGTTGGTCTGGAACCAAGATGTTGCACGTTTATTGGTGTGTTTGGGGTCGTTGTCTTGTTGGAACACCCATTTCAAGGGCATTTCCTCTTCAGCATAAGGCAGCATGACCTCTTCAAGTATTCTGATGTATTCAAACTGATCCATGATCCCTGGTATGGGATAAATAGGCCTAACACCGTAGTATGAGAAACATCCCCATATCATGATGCTTGAGCAACCGTGCTTCAGTGTCTTCACAGTGTACTGTGGCTTAAAATTCAGTGTTTGGGGGTCGTCTAACAAACTGTCTCCTGCCACTAGACCCAAAAAGAACAATCTTACTTTCATCAGTCCACAAAATGTTGCGCCATTTCTCTGTAGGCCAGTCAATGTGCTCTTTGACAAATTGTAACCTCTTCAGCACGTCTTTTTTTCAACAGTGGGACTTTGCGGGGGCTTCTTGCAGATAGCTTGGCTTCACATAGGCGTCTTCTAATTATAACAGTACTCACAGGTAACTTTAGACCTTCTTTGATCTTCCTGGAGCTGATTGTTGGCTGAGTCCTTGCCATTTTGGCTATTCTATCCATTCAAATGGTAGTTTTTCGCTTTCTTCCACGTCTTTCAGGTTTTGGTTGCCATTTTAAAGCATTTGCGATCATTTTAGCTGAGCAGCCTATCATTTTCTGCACTTCTTTATATGTTTTCCCCTCTCCAATCAACTTTTTAATCAAGGTACGCTGTTCTTCTGAACAATGTCTGGAACGACCCATTTTCCT